AGGGAGGATCTCCTGGGATTCTACCTCCATATCCAGGATGCAAAAAGAAGCTGTTCCTCTGTAAACCAGCAAAGCAGTATTTTCACTCTGCCAAGTCCTGACTCCTTAAGGAGAGGTAACTGGAAAATTCCCTATGTGGATTCCCATCATTTTGGAAACTAGCTTCAATTTCCAAGTACTTGGTAGATTAGTCTAAGAGGTTAAAAAAGGGAAAATAAGAGGGGCTTCTTTACATCCCAAATGCAATGGGAGTCTGCTTGCTTTGCATGCATTGAGCAATACTGACTGCTGCAATGACTACCTTACCTCAGGCACTGCAGATTAGCAGCTCCTGGGAAAGTTTCTGTGTTCTTCTGCAGGTTTGTATGACATACGAACTGCTTGTATTTGCTAGTGGAGATGTTACACAAACAGAGAATGACTGTCTACCTTAAGTAGGCAAGTGCTGTTTTCCTTCTACTTGCTTTTTCACAACACAGGGGACATAAGACTATGCACCAGATCTATTAAATGGACATTTTCAACGTGGAAGGAACAGAAGGTCACTCTTTGCATAAACCTTCTCATCTTCAGCACACAGGCTCCAGAAAGCAGCAGAGACGATCACCGGCACATACTTTTGAAATCTAGGCAGCATAAATTACCCTGTATACCATCACCAGTATAAAACACTTACTGTTCAGCACTGTCATTATCTGCTACTGTTCATCAATCATCTTTGACATTTCAATTCATCACTTTGTGTTCCTGGCCCTCTGGGAATTGTAGAGACCTGGGTTTGAGGAGTGTGCAATGAAAGCCAAGGGAAACAACACTGAGCGCAAGCAGGGGTAGCGGTTTTATTCGTTGGCACTCTGGCAATCCTATTGTGCTCAACAGACATGCTGAAACATGTATTTTGCAGTCCCATACAATGTTGTAACTACTGCTTTGTCTTTTCTTGGGACCAGGGTATTGAAACAGCTGGAGAACTGCTGGCTTTCGCTTATGAAAGTACCCAGAAATGATGCTCCAAACGGCTGGTTCAGATAAATGTTATGAACCGAGAACTTATTAACAGTACCACCTGGGACCGCTACCAGAGTGGATCAGGTTGGTATTTTGCTACTTCTCTTCCTACTTCTTTTGTTTTTCTTTGTTGGTAGGATTATGGCACAAGAAAGAAATTAATCTCATTTCTTACCACTTACTATTGACATCTTCCATGCTCCTTCCTCTTAATTGAAGGCTGGAATTGCAATGTGAGGATAGTAAATAGATACGTACCTAGCCCGTGTACTGAAAACCATAAATTTTGCTAAAAATGTTTTGTTTGCTTTTTTTTTTTTGTTATTTTTTTTACTGGAATGAGTATTGCTATTATTATTCTGTGCACAATTGCCGACCAAATAATTTCGAGTGCTTTACACCTTAAGAGAGGTAAGTACATTGCTTAAGTCCATGATTTTTCCTTTCCAAGCTCTTTTATTTCTCCTATATAGATATAGAAGTGAAAATTCTCCCTAGTCATAAATTAGTATTAAAAAACAATATCCGCATTATTTCTGTCATGGAAACTCCTTCCTGTTCTTCAAGGCAAATGTTCTTGGCTAATACCAACTTCCTACAACTACAAAAAGGGTATCTTCTTCCTGCAGGCAGAGAAAACTGCAATATATGCATCAGGGCACACTCTATGTTCTTTGCCTTACTTAATATATTACATACACTCTGCATATTTTAGCTCTTAGCTACATGTTCCATCTTTAGAACTAGAATTGCTTAACGAAAACGTCTGTTGACTGGTCACAAAGCTCTGAAGCTTAACACAAGGCCATAAACTCAGGAGCAGTGTATCCACCCACAGTCCAGTGATGCAAGAATGAAACCTACCTCAATTTTGACATAGGGGATACCGAAAAACAAAAGAGAGAATAATGGGTGAGCTCAGCTCCTTCAGTTGCAGGTCATCAAAGCCTGTCCCCATGGGATCCTGTGATATTCTTTCTGCTGTTGAGTCCATTTTGCAGGTCTTCCTTTTGCCCTTCATTTTCCTAATATGATAAATTTTCAGAGAGAGACATTGCTCTCGGAGGTCCCATTCTTTCAGCTGTGTCCATAAGAAGCTGTCTGGAGAGTCATTCATTCTTCCCATGTTACTGGTTGATGTTCTGGCCATGAAAAAACAGGACAGTACCATTGTTCAAATACCTATAAATAAAATTATAATGCTTTAATAACAGACCTTGCCTGAGGATCCACTCTCTTTAGGGACCTTACCATCAGAATCCTTGCCCATCTGGATTATTTTTTAGTACTTCCCAGTATAATCAAACACAAAAATAAAAATACTTAGTGTTTACTAAGGGAGGTTGTTCCATAGCGCTCTCAAAAAAAGATTTTGTCTTTTTAGACTGTAACTGGACATATAATACTTGGAATTATTTTAGATAAAGTCTTTTAAGCATTCTTCTTTCACTGGTTTACATTCTGCTTGAGCATTTTGAGCTAACAGGTTGCCTCTTATGCCTTAGGTTCCCACCATAAAATGACTAGAATGCAATTTGGAGGAGTAACTGCATTTGCAACTATGTTACTTTTTATTTGCTCACTAGACAAAAGTTAGGTACTATTAACCGATTATGTAACAACAAATAATCTAAGCTGTCACAATCTAAGCTTTATATCTGTTTTATCAAGTCACTCAATTTCTGCTAGTTCTGTTTGCATCTCCCAAACTAGCAATACTCACAGTAAAAAGATAGAATTGAACTATCTGTGCTGGAAACCGTTAAAACTACCAGGACTGATTCCGCTCTCCCACTAAGCTCTGCCCCAGCTTCATTCTTCTGTCCACAGGTTTGCAACACTAAGGGCAAGACAAATCAAAACATGTAAGTGAAATATATTGTATTTCAAAACAGGTTTTTCTCATGAACATATTACCATTTATCTGTTCCTTTCTTGGAGTGTCTCTTGGAAACACTGAGTGTATCAATAGGAAGGCAGCTGCATCTGGAAGTCAGTTTAAGAAGTTAACAAAAACAGAATTAGAAATCAATTAAATGTTTCATGGAATTATTCAGTTTATTAACAGACCAGGAAAAGGAGCAAAAGCTTAAGTCAGCTGCAGTAATTTCAGGACTTACCTTTATACATGTCGCTGATGACAGTTTATTACTTACCATCCCTAACAACAATTTTGGGGGCTTCAAGATGTGTTGGCCAACTGCAGCTAAAGACAGTCTCACTGTACTCGGTGTCCTCAGGAAACCCTGACAAGCATAACCACATTAAACACCTCAAGCATTCTGCTGATTATTGGGGCAATTGTATGTACCCTTATAAATTAATACACAGGTGGTTTGCTTGATGTGCACCTATTAGATGTACTGACATGAGTTAGCCCGTACTGTACAGTACCTGTAATCGCTCTATCTGTCAGGGGTAGTATCAGTAGCTTCATATCACACTGCAGCAAACAAAATAAAAATGTTTAAATGCAGAGCTCCTTTCTTGTATTGGGGAGTCCAGCAAAAAATTTTAGAAGACAAGTTTTATGTTTAATCAGCTGACAAGTAGATAAATCAGCAAAAAAGACATCTAGAGGAAGTAAAAGGAGAGAAAGGAGAGGAAGGCCAGGAGCGAGGTCACCTTGGGATTAATTACTGCAACACACTGAACATGAGCACACATCTCACGTGTGTAGCAACTGAAGTTAGTTAAGATTTAACTCCGTGTTAGCAGTACACTGTTACAAATTTCTGAGCATTTTGAACAACTGACAGTATCCCTCGAATTTAGCACCTGCTCCTTAAGGTTGACTATTCTTCCTTGTATTTGAAGAGGGCAGAACTGAGGCTGCAGATTGAAACAAGTATAGCTGGTTCCCGCTGTCAGGGGTCCCACTGTATTAAAAGTTGTCAATACCTCAGACTTTCAAAACAGATTTCATCTTAAATCAAAGCTTTTCATGAAGTAAAAACATAAGCCTAGTACAACTTTTATAGACTTTCATACAATATACTAAAGTTGATTTGGGGCTTCTGGGTGCTATGGTCACATATGTCAGAAAAAAAAAAAGCTGAAAAGATCTGTGAATGTAAATTTAAGGCATTTAAGGCCACTTACAGCTCTTATCCTTCATAGGCAGCAGCAACCACTAACCCCAGGGAATTCAGGCCATACAAGCATATTTCATAGTGTTTGGAGCTGACTGGCTTGTAAAAAGCTTAGTGCAGAAAACTTTAACATTTGTATTTTAGTACGTGGTGGTTTTCCCATTCTGCTATTTAAATATTTTCATTGGTATACTGTGACTGTCAATATATAAAGTTAGTCTTTATTTCCCTTAGCAAATGCTTTTTTTTTTTCATTTGAATTACTTGAGGATTTTTCTTACCATCACTAATTGCAAAGACTGAAAAAACAATTTAAAATCAATTTTAAGACACCAAACTAACACACACCCCCCCCCCAATAGTAACAATGTGAAACTCAAATCATACATCAGTGTTGGTTTGCTCAGGAAATAAAGATACACTTCTGCCATAAGGATGCCAGGACGGCAAAGCCAAACAACATTAATTTTTAAATCTGCATCCAGCTTTCCAAGAAATTTATCCCCTTATATAAGCAAAGTTTAGCAGGAAGCTACAGACATAGGCCCACATTTTCGATTCAGCTGAACAAAATTCCCTTAAAAGGTGACTGTTAAATAGAGTATTGCCTTGCGGAGGATAGGTTTTCATCTGAAGAAGAGAAATCTAAGTAGGTGACTCCTCTCCAGTGTAACAGAAAACTGTTAACTGCATCACTGACCAAGTTTAGTGTTTATTTGAAGCTAGTCTTAAATTATTTAAGAAGTAAACAACACCTGCAGTCACAGTTAACTAAATTAAGCAAGTATATAAAGTGCTGGATGATTAAGAGTATGTCTTTTAACTCCTCTGGAAAATAAGTTAGAAAATAAGAACACTAAAGGCAACTTTCAGAAGCCAATTATTTGCTCACTAAAGTTGAAGATGATATGAAACTTGTGGTTTTGTCCCAAAATGAGCAATAATGTCTCAAGAACAGACCACAGAAATGATGCATCAAACGGAAAGAAAACTTCCACTTTAAAGATTTGATATAATTTAAAATAAATAAATACCATAATCCATAAAGTAAAATGAAAATTTTATAATTTTTTAAAACTTCTTGTATGGGGTTCACAGACCTGAGAATACACCCAAAATAACTTGTCCAAAGTATTCCTTTAAAAAATTATAAATTATTGGTAACAGTTTCTTTAATGGAGATTGCAGGAGTAGGTCCCACATGAGTCCATATATAACCCTTCTCTGGTCTTGTAGGAACAGTAGGAAAGGGAGATGATCGAGATTTGAAATATTCCGAAGGTGCATGACAAACAAATTCTAAATATTCCATTTTTCTTGGGAGATCTTCTTCTGGTCCTAGGAAACAAAAAAAAAATCTTCAAAGATGAAATTTCAAGGCATAAAATTGGAGTATGCAGGACTTAAAAATATGCAACAACAGCCAACATCCCTTGGAGGGATTCCTTTTCAATCAGTGACTTTCCTGCCAAAGTAGCCTCAAATATGAGGCAAGATACCTCTACCTTTATTTTTCCTGAGCTGATCTTTTTCTTTTTTTTTCCCCTCATTTGAAGCATTCAGTTATTTGAATGAAGTACTTTTGTTAATATATTTTAAACAGATACTATTTGTGGCCTGCCTGTGAAGAGGATTTTTCTGAATTATTAATAATTTTATCATCAGTAGCAGAACACTCTCTATGCCAGTGCTTGCACGCTATGTATTTTAAGTACCCAAGATGAAGATCAGCTAATTCAGGTCACTTTAAAAGAAACAGCTTGGACTGGTGTATCAGGTTTATAGTGTAGTAACTTCAATTCTATCTATGGAGTAATAATTTGATCTTTAAAGCTGCAAGACTCTAATTATGCCCGTGAGCGCAAATACTCAGATAATCACACTCGCTGCAGTAGCGCTAATCATATTATATACAGAAGATACATAAATGATCTTGACAAACAAAAAGGTTAATTAAAAAAACACAACTCTGCATTAGTCTAGGCACATGTAAGTAGTTGTATAAAACAAAGACTTAGAGATTACCTATGATATAGGATGCTGGGTCAAAACAATCTTTGGGGCTGGCTTGCGTAGGAATGAGCCAGGTTAGCGCAGCACTCTTTTCACAATATTGGTCCTGAATAAACCCACGGATCTGAGCGTAGTATGTTTTTCCATCCTGCTCATCAACCACTGAAACAACATCTCCAATTTGATAGTATACACCCTAGAAGATGAAGAAACGATAATTAAATCAAACAATCTGATTTTAGAAGCTTTACTCTGTGATTCTGATTCATATCTTAAGTATCTGTATCTCAAATTACCCCAGTCTTGAAAGACAGCCTTAATTCAGCCACATGCAAAAGAACGGTGGCATAAGATAGAGCGCTGTCTCACCTAAGCAGTCATCAGCACCGCTTGTGCACAATCACCCAATGTCTAGGAGTCTGAGGCTACGCCTCCTGTCTGCAGAGTGGAGATGGTCTCATTCCGTCAGAAGCAGGAGAGTGCAACACCCCCTTCCAGAAAAAGTAACTGTAGTAATTTCCCTGTGTGCGCAGGGAAAGCAGCTTTCTGTGTATGAAGAAGTTCACTCATCTGAATGCAAAGGAGTCCCAAAACACAGATCCACCTCCTGCCACCTTCCATTGTCCTCTGCAACGTGTGAGGCTGCGCACCAAAGGCAACTCACTTCATGTTGTAACAGCGTTGCACAGCACAATGCAGTGCCTGCACTACCCATCAAGACCAGAGTTTGCCAAGAATTATCCAGGAAGGTTTTGTTTTTAAAAAAGATAAAAAGAACACAAAAAACCCAAACAGCCCCCTTCTCAAAAGCACAGCAAAGTATCAAAATAGAAACATTTTGCATATGTCGTGGTTTAACCCCAGCAACTAAGCACCACGCAGCCGCTCACTCACTCCCCCCCATCCAGTGGGATGGGGGAGAAAATCAGGAAAAGAAGTAAAACTCCTGGGTTGAGATAAGAACGGTTTAATAGAACAGAAAAGAAGAAACTAATAATGATAATGATAACACTAACAAAATGACAACAGTAGTAGTAAAAGTATTGGAATGTACAAATGATGCGCAGGGCAATTGCTCACCACCCACCGACCGACACCCAGCTAGTCCCCAAGCGGCGATTCCCTGCCCCCCACTTCCCAGTTCCTAAACTGGATGGGACGTCCCATGGAATGGAATACACTGTTGGCCAGGTTGGGTCAGGGGCCCTGGCTGGGCATGAGAAGCTGAAAAATCCTTGACTATAGTCTAAACACTACTGAGCAACAACTGAAAACATCAGTGTTATCAACATTCTTCACATACTGAACTCAAAACATAGCACTGTACCAGCTACTAGGAAGACAGTTAACTCTATCCCAGCTGAAACCAGGACAGCATACAAAGATCACATTAAATAAAACTTCTTAGGAATAAAGAAATTCTTAGGAATTCCTGATAAAAACACTCAAGACAAGACATTAATTCTTTTCTGAACTAGTCAACAGCAGAGATTCATTTGGGATGCCAGACATGAAGCATCAGGTCTCTAGAGAGTATATGGAAGCTCAGTCTACCACTTCTCCTCTGGCTGTGCAGTCTCCCACTGGCTATCCTCACCTTTTCTTTGGGGGAAAAGACATTTCAAATGTTTTGTTTGTACTACTGGGAAACAAAAGCAAATTTCAGAACTTCAACACACTAACACCTTGGCATGCTGTTAAAAACTCTCTCAGGCATGAATGCGAGGAAGGCTAGCTTCTGCTTTCATTGCAATAGTCAACAGATCCTGTTCCCAGGGTGTTTGAGACTGGTTGCACTCAGCTCTGAAATGGGAGCCAGTTTAGATGTTAGGGCAGTGCAACCCACGCCCTCTACAGGCAACATTCTCTGTGCCTAAGGTAGGAAACATCACGCAAATTTAAGTAATCAGCTATAGTCACTTTTGCTTGACCTCTGCACGGTGAAAGTTAAAAGTTTCAAAACCTTGATTGCAATTATTACTAAGGAAACCAGATGCATCTTTTTCTTGGAAGAAAAAAATGGGACGATGACAAATATATAAACTACTGTGGTGAACTACCTTGCAAGACTTAATGGCAAGAACATAAGGCAGAGCAAAATCCTACACAACTGCTAGGCAAGGAAGAACAGTTTCTGGGAATACACCCCTAGTGCTTTCACTATCTGTGATAATTTTTGACACTGGAAACAGAAACAGCGAGCTCTTTTTTTTCAAACAGATTTGCACAAACCGTACCTTATAGAAGATTGATTCTGCTGTAATTATAGTGGATACAGACTCAGGAGCCTTGATGGGCTAAGAAAAGAACATAGAAATGGAAAATCAAGAGGGTTAAAACAAACCAACCATGTAATATAATTCCAGGTTGGGTTTCTTCCTTTTAGACAACATACTGATACGTTATCCTCTTAGAAAATTAGCAAACACAGGAAATGGGGCGCAAACATTTCAAACATCTCTACGTTAAAATCGGAAACAATAAGGTCAGCATTTTCACCCTCAGGATTTTAAGCGGAGAAGCGAGTACTAAACTCAGACGGCTGGTTTCTATTTAGACACAACGCCTCCCCTCGAGAAGCGAGCCCGAAGGACTGGGTGCTGTGCGGACGGACCGGTGGGTCACGCCGGCGGCCGCGCCCGCGCTACGGAGGAAGAAACCGGCTCCGGCTCCGGCTCTGGCAGCGACTACGGCCGCTTCCCGGCCAGGCTTCAGGCCGGTTTCGCGGCAGGAGCTGCACAGCTCCGCGCCGGGGTCCAGCGCGCCGGCAAGGGGAGGCTGGCGGGGGCCCGGCCCTGCGGGCCCGCCGCGGGGAGCCGCTTCTTCGGGGGACGAGACGGGGCTCCAGGTCCGCCCCGGGGGCCCGCCGCTTCCCATCCCCGCCGCCGAGAGCCGCACGCCACCTTACGTTTTTTAACTTAAAGATGTGCCTCCTCCCCTTGCCCTTCGTGGAGACCTTCTTCTCGGCGGCGGGCGCCGACTTGTACTTGGTGTTCCTCAGCCGCGCAGAGCGCCGGTGGATCTCCTGCTTGCTCTAGGGGGGAAATTCCCGAGTAAATAGACGGAAGGGCGCTGCCCCGGGCGCGGGGCTACGGCCGGCC